TGCACTATGACGAAAAGTTGCATGTCTCTATACAACAATAATATTTTTTGAAACATAACTTATATTTGTAATTAAAATTGCTTAAATGTATTAGCTGCTGCATTGATTCAAGTTAAAAGAGTCGTTCTATGGTTTATGATATCTAAATAAAATATATAATATATTTCATACTCGTATTTTCACGGACGCGGTGGTTCGCCATTAGAGTAAAAGGTTGTCCTTGTACCAAACCAGAACAAAATTGTTCTCTCTCTCACTCTCACTCTCTCTCCATCACTCACTCACTCTCTCTCTCTTTCATTTCTCTCGCGCGCTCATTCAGTATATACTACAAATACGTATACGTATATCCACCGAAGAGATCGAACCATGCCCATATACGGTCGTCGGTGTCCAACCGAATGCGGTGACGTCACTGCAGCTGTATCACGTGCCAAAGTGTCACCGTTGGTACTTATGATACCAGGATGTACTGCCGAAATCTTCTTTTATTTTTATTTAGTGTCACAATATAATGCGAATCATTACAATACGTCACCTATACGGAACAGGCTAAGGTTACCATACATCCCGGTTTGGCCGGTACTATACTGGTCTTAAATAAAGCGTCCTGGTCGTCCTGATGTATATCGATAATGTGTTTCTGGACGGTCCATGGTCCCAGAATTAATAAACTTCGATAATTTATGTTTAGCTTAAGAAGATGTCAGTGCACTATTTGTCTTCTCTCGACTCTCTCTAACTCACACGCAACATAGACAATACCTACGCATAATAATTTTTTCTATGTTTTTAAGTAATCTTTGCGTTTAGTAACCCATTACAAAAACGATAGAGAATAATATTTTTGAAGGCATGCATATCGATTTTATATTTTATTTTTATTTGACGTTGTATTCGATTTCAAAATAAACAAAAACATTTTGTAAATTGAAATGATGTTTTAATTGTTTTGAGACAATATTTAGACAAATCGATCCGTTAAAAATATTATTCTGCAAATAATTGTAGGTAATAATAAAAATATGTAATAAATTAAAATTTTCAAATCACATAGAACTAAATAGAGATGGTGTTTGGTGATTCATCATTATTCATAATATATATTGCATCGAGTTATTGTTTTCACGTTTAGTTTTATTTTTATTTCAGGGAGCTGTTGCCGAAGAGGTGTATGAAGGAAGACCGTGTCTGGAGTGCCACGACAACTGCGCGGGATTCGTGCCACACCCGTGGAGGTAAAAAAAATTAGTTTTACATAAATACGGTCAGGCTCACGTTTATAGTGCTAAATGTAAGATGCTATATATTTACTGGGTTCCGCCGAAATGGTAAATTTAATCAAATAGACACTATACAGGGCAGGCATTCTACTGTCTTGGATTTATATTATCAATGATAGAACTAAAAAAAACCTAATCAGGTTGTGTGTGATAAGACATTAAACAATATAGTGATGAGACTCACTTTTAGAGGCTATGTAATATAATATACAATAATGTGATTCATTACGCTTAAAGTTACCAATTATTATGTACAATACAGAATGATGAACGTATAATATATATATTATTAATAAAGATCCATCAATACTAAACAAACAGGTTGTTACTCGCCGATTATTCGTACCCAAGAATTTGGGTTGACAATATTTATATTTATTTTTATTTTTATTTTTTTAATTGATCCTGAGCCCGGCAACTGTGGCCATTAGCTATTAGTAGGTACTGTAGGTTTTTGTATTGATGGTTTGTAGGTTTTTGGAACGGTAGGGGGAACACGTGTGTGTTTGTTTTGGCAGAATTTCGAATGGGGCACCCGTAGGTTTCTGCCATGCCCCGGGGGTGGGGGATGGCAGCACTTGCTCTCCGGTCACCGCGACTTGTCCGGAGAAAAATGCCGCCCGGTGGCCGAGGATCGAACCGCGACCGGCTGCGTCGCAGCGGAAGAGTCAGACCACTCGGTCACCTCGTCCCCCTATTTATATTTAATGGACAATAAAATTAAAAAATTAAATGTTGTCTAGCTCACACTTTTAAATATTGCGAAAAATGTAAAAATTATAATTGATACTTATACATTTTATTTGATAAATAATGAAAAACGTTGTTAATTGTTTAGTTTTTTGTAAGTCATATGTGTTGTCGTGATCACGTTAGGTGTTGTGGCTTATGAGTTCTGATAACTCAGTTTGTTATGATTTATGATTTTATCATACATAATAATATGCATATCATCATAGTATATATTATATGTAAATTATTGAACAATTTTGTTTTTCATGTCTTGTTCTCAAAATGATGTCATAGGTTAGGTTAGTCGTATATTGTTCAAGGGTCTTAACCGTCGTTATATTATCATATAATATATCATATGAACTCCGTAAAAGGGCGTAAACGTAACTTATATTTATATGGTAAATAATTCACATATTATTTATGCAAACATCAGGCATCGAGCCTTATTAATTACTAACAACACGAACCGTTTGAAATAATATATGTATTCTTGTTCTGCTATTATAAAACATTTTTGCGTATATAATTATAGAATTATAAATTAAGAGAATCTGCACCCGCATGTGCTATCTTCGTCTTAAAAATGCATGACATCGGAAATTTTACGTTCTGAATAATCCATTTACTTTTATTATGATTAATATTGGAGCGAATCACCTATTATCAGATTTAGAAGTAAGAATATTAACTAGTGAATCTTATAGGGTTTTTACTATTTAAATTTAAAAACAAGCTATGAATATTTTAAAATTGTAAATTATTTCTCGATATCAATTGTTCGTCGTTAAAACTGCAGCAGTACGCGCCAAACCGAATCACGACCACGGGCAATAGCAACGACATTGAACGAGCGTCAATCAATGAACACGAGAGACTGTAAGCCTGCGTGTCTTCGATCGTGTTTTCTTTCTCTGAAGCGACTTCCCCTTGCGATATTTTATATAGTGATAAATGATAATAAATAATAATTATACGTTGTAACGAATTATGTACTATACGTCGGTTGGGTGGGGATGAGGGAACACCTCGACTGTGACGTATCTGAAATTCGGTCACAGGAGGGGGATGGTGATTATTGAAATATAACAACTTGATACGATGTAGTTAACTACTTGAACTTTATACTTGATATTTCCCCTTTGGCGTCCCACATTTAATTGGCTTATTGATATTTTTTTAACAGTGATGTTCAATTTTTGTATTGTAGAATGCAAATTTGATAATTTCATTATTTCATTATTATACCTATATACATACAATTAGAAGCCAAGGCCCAACTCCCAAAGTGGGTTGTGTATTGTATAGCGTATAATAATATTGTGCGAGTATGATATATTAATACATATTATATTATTATTTATTATACGTAATACAAACAAACCACAGCGATACCTATCGAGGTATTGTATATAATTCATAAGCTATTTAGTGGTATTTATCACGCCGTAATTCCAGTATACCACTTAGTGTAATATTACCATACGTTACCTTAGTGCATATACCTATACTTGGTTGTATATTATTGTTGCGTGTATAACAGAAAATATTATAATTTGTGGGCTGTAGGGCGATTATTTTTCAACGCCCCCTTTCATACACCAGAACTGTATACTAATCTCGAAGCTACACGCGCATTGTCGTTGTCTCTGTTTTATATTAGAGTCTCTGGTTACATATTAGCATTCTAAAAATGTACGTTTACTGTTTCCAATACGGTTTTCTCGTTCTTAGTATAAGAGGAAAATAGTACCTGGTATTACACCCAATTACTATATTATTATCCGTGCAATTAACCTACAGTTTTTTTCGATATTTCTAATTTAGACTGAGTTATAACTTTTTAAGTAAATACAGTACAATAATTTGAGAAGATAAGTCATTGAAATAAATTAATCAAAACTAATTAGGTAGTTAACCAAAAATACATTTTTATTTTCACTTAACCCTTTTCTTGAATAAGACAGCCATGTTACGTAGCTATAATCACTCATATGACTCAAATGTCCAATTATTTCCGTAACGTTTTGAAGGAGCCCGGTCACAGTTCGCCATTACAGTCGACCATACATTTCATATAGTCGAGATAGAACTGACATGCGAGTTAGATGGCGGTGTAAAAATAATATAATTGACAACGTAGACGGTATACAAAAGGTAATAATATTATGCTATGGCCTATGATTAATGAATAATGATTATGGTGGCGTTTCAGTCAAACGCTAAACTAGCGGAGCGACGACGCCTGTGTCTAGTTCAAGTATATGCATACGTAAGCATAATAACGTCGTATAATATACAGTGGATTTTGCATAAATTCAAAAATAAAATTGCGTTGGCCTGAAGTATCTGTTGCCCGTGTGCTTGTATTAATATAAAATTAAAATAACAGAAGTTTCAGAAATAGTGACACGAATCGTTGGCAGGTGCGCAGCGTCTCTCTGTTTATAATAACACAATAATATGTATAATTTAACGCTATACGATGTATTTTTATTATTATTATTGCTGTCCTGCGGTGTGACGTACCTACGTCCGGCCAAAATATTGTTATTATTATTATTATTATTGGTACCATCGTCTGTGTGTTGGCCGTCGGCCACGTGGCTCGCAAACGACCCGGAGCGAATTCGCGCGCGTGGACCGCACCGGAAGCGCGCCGCTCCCACCCCGGACCGACCGGGGCGGTATATACGCGCACTTCCGGTCGCATCCGGTCTCGTAAATAACCGTTTACGGAACCGTTTTCGCCGCCCAGCGATTACCCGTACGTGCACACGCACAATGTGCACGTTATACGAGTATATAGGTATATCTAATAAGATGTAGAAAACCTGTGACGATGGCGGCGGCGGCAGCGGCGCAAGCTGTCTTATTTTGTGTTTCACGTTGGTCGCGTTTGCAGTTGGCACTCGGCGTCGACGGCGAGCGCGTACAAAAATAAACGACGGTGGCTGGCCGAGCCGAGCTGACACGGTAAATAATATCATAATAGTCCGGTGCCGCCGCTATACACGTGTGTCTGAAACAATATAATATTATTATTGTAAGCTATAACGTACACAATAAAATTATAAACCATACATGGTACATTATATTATATTGTATTACTTGAGATCGCGGTAAAGTTCTAATACAGTGATAGTGCGCCGCGACGTGATTTTAACAACTCTGGTACAAGACAGCCGATATAATATTGTGAGATATAGGTACAAATACTCAGCCGCCACCGTGTGTTGTTGCTTTTCGTTTTCGCCGTGGTGTAATACAATATACGATATGAGTCGTAAACATCTTGGCGTATCGGTTACATAACGTTATCATAATATTATCCGGCCAACAGGTAAGACGACCGATCACAGCACTACCTATTGGCAACGAGCTGTGGTGCTGCAATCCTTCATTATACGCTTTTCCAAGAACGCTTTTTGTTAGATTAGTAGCTTAACTTCGTAACGTTTTCAGACGACACTTTCCAAGTTAAATCTCTACCTCTTTACCTATTCAAAGCTCTACTATGTGGCTTTAGTGATATATGTTTTTAAATATTCATGCGATATCGGAGACGGCGGTTTAGACCGTTTTAGTAAGTACAGCAGTAATCGATAAAATCGTTTTCGATATATTTGCTAGTCAGTGATAGGTATTGGTTGTATTGTTGATTTTTTTAACTTTGAAACATGCGAGTATAATTGTATACAAAGTGTGAATATTGTAACAGCTCAAGTCGTTTGATAAACATGTCGAATGTGTATAGTTTATAGTTGCAATTATTACAGTAGGATTTTGGCTTAAATGTACCTCGGAGGTCAGTCCGAGACGACCGCAAAAGTCAAGTCCGCGAGATGTTGTTTTTTTCTGTTTAATTTATAAATCTAGTAATTTAGTTTCGCGCCAATAGGTATTATTTTAAAATTTCTTAGTGGTTTTTCCTGGTTATTACCGTTGCTGACTGAGGAAAAGATAATAAAATGGACACCAGTTTCATGACGTAATATAATATATACTGCAGACAATACTGAGCGTTTATTCATTGGTGCAACTGTAGAGATGAGATGTAGGGTCTGCTAAAGTATTGATGTATAATCATTGAGATTGTTTTTCAGTTGGTATAAATGGTAATTTTTAATTTGGTCTTCGATTTTTAAAACTTTTTGCTACATGTACCTACCTGAACTGGATCAAAAATTGGGTTTAAAGAATAATTTAAAATTAGAATCCATATAGGATACTAATATGTAGGGACAATCTCCATCAACTTTCAAAATAATTTTTTTTATTTTTATAATATATACCTATAGGAACTTTTATATTATATGTTTTAATATTTTAATCAATACATTGTAATTTAATTTTACATTTTTTTAAATTATATATATTCTAATAATACCTATATCGTTGTTCTTTTGTATACAATTTACAACAGTCCTTTCAATATTGAGAAAAGTCAAATTTGGGAGACAGTCTTGCAGTACACTCGATCTGCAAACCACTTGCGTCATTGATACAAATTACAAACATTCATCTTGCTTATTATTTAAAATTTATTTGGGGTTCAGAGAGGAGGAGGTCTGACATGCGAGTGTGTTAATACTTAATATACATACAGTGGACACTATATATATTCTATCGGTATTTAACTAGGCAGTAAGTGTATTATGTTACTGTCATTCTGTAGCCACAATGAAACAAGTCGATAGTATATTAATATCTCTATGATTATTAATTTAACGGGTACCTGCGAGACGCACTACGTACTACTTGTACGCAATGCAACGTGAATATAGTATGCTTGTGACCTATGTACAGTGTAATGGTACACTGTATTAATAATAGTTATACTATAATCGGATATTGAACCAAGCCCTATACTTATTATACCATTTCGAATTTTTATGCGAAGTTTATGACCCGAGAATGGATGAAATGGCCGTAAAACATTATACGACCTCAAATATAATATAATAATACATAACATTATAATTAAATTACAATATAATATTATGAAGAGAAAATAAAATACGTAACGTATGGTCATTATATTATGCAGTGTACTAGTGGAATATATAAAAACGGTGATGAGCGTAATATGCCTACTATACAATATATGTCAACATCTACTTCAATGGCGCAACGAAGAGAGGTATCTTAGATATCCCCTCCCCTAAAAAAAAGTTGACAATGAAATATTGTTTGTTTGTTGTTACATTCATGTTTATATTGGTAATTATAATGTTAAAGAAAACCCGCAAGATAGCAATGATATGTGTATTATATAGAATTTTGGATATTCAATATTTCCTGATTGGCTTACATGACTTAGCGCGACAAATAGAAAAAAAATAAACGCATCGTTGTTAAAACCAAATTTAACCAATACATTCTTCACTTCGACCTATGAAATTGAACATAAAATGTCTGATACGTATGAGTGAGGTGTGTGTGTGGGAGGTGGAGGTTTGAACCCAACTGGTAATTGTAAGTTAATAATCACGGTGAGTGTTTTCTCCCAAAATATTAACTCAATATGTTCGACTATAGCTGACGTCCGAATCACAGCAAACTACAGTGGTATATCTGAAATTCAATTACAGTATGCTACTAATTGACTTGACTCAACTTATCTCGGACGTAGGACTTCCCCTCCAATGTGCCACATTACTAAGCTTCTTAAATTTTATTTCTTAACAGTTAAAATATTTTATTTTTTTATTTTATTAAATGCTAACTTGACAATTATATTTTTAAATAAGTAGGTACATTAAAAAAATTCACGTCGTCTACCCCTCCCCCTTTCCCTTTGACACTTGATTTTATTTGCAATAATAATGAGCGGCTTTGTATACGGTTGAAATCGTAAACAACGAATTCGAAATTTAAATACGTTCTGGTGGTATTATGGGTTAAATTAATTATATTAGCTGCGTATGTATTATACGTCATATACACTAAACAACAGATATTTCTTAATTTAGATTTGTGTTTGTGCTATTATTTTATTTCACGATTTATTTTATACTCGTGACGACGAGTGATGTAGGCCATAGACGTACGCGGAACGTAATTTCGAATAAAGACGAAGACAAAATAATAAAGCTCGTGTGCGATACCCGAGTGTAAAAGAATAACAAAAACACCGTCCATCAAGGGCGTAGCGCACGAATATTGATTGAATGTGGTTTATCGGCATTTTGCATCGTACGCAGAAAAAAACCGGCGTACACAGCGAGCCGATGTCGAGAAAGCGTCGAAAGTCGAGTCCAATTGCGACTGTCAACCTGATACTTATAATAATGTATAATAATAATATAATTTCGTATTTGTACTTACTGTAAATTTGGAGGGTGTAGCGTGTAGGCAGTACTGCACAATATCCCATGGTATAATATTGTTTCGTTTGCTTCGTATCTACCCAACCACATCGAAAAGTGTTCCTATGCGTGCGATTGAACTATATTATAGTAAATGGACAACCGCATTTCACACAGCTATGGAACCACCTCAACACACTTTGTGACATTACCATTTACCATAATATTATAATTTATTAGGGTATAAAATTATAATACACACAAACGAGACCCGCGAAACCGACGATAGGTGTGATAAGCGAGAATGTTGAAAAAGTCAGTAACTTCATTTTTTTTTTTTAATATTATGATCTTAAGTCATTACTAGTTACACTCAGGTATACAAATATTCAAGAAAGAAATGTGTACTTAAATATTTTTTTATAATTGTATGTATTTTTATTAAATTCCATGCATCTAAACTTAAATTGAATAAATATATATTAACTGTGAGGGATATTTAATTTTTAAACTTCAAAATTAAAAATGTATGTCATAAAAAGGTTTAAAAAGCACCTAATAAATATATATTTTAAATATTTTTTCAAAAATATTTCATTCTAATGACTTAAGCACACACAATTTTACCAAGGATATGACTATATAATATTATTATAGTGATAAGATAATCAATTTGTACCATACCGTTAACCGTAGATAATAAAGGAATTGATGAGGCATTGCTGCTATATATTTTGTGATTGAATCAAAAAAAAAACTGTGATGTGAGTTGTCGTGTGTATAGTGGGGTCATAACTTATATTTATAAGGTACTGAGTTGTCCACCATTTCGATCAAAGAGCATTGTCTTTTGTACCTATGGAATAAACTGACATGTCCTTAATTTATACATGGGCGCAACTAAGGAAATTTTTTTTGGGGGTCGGCTAGAATTACTAGACCCCAATTATTGATACTTAAACTAAAACACTAGGGCGGGGGGGTACACATACAACTGTGGTAAGCCTATGCCTTTATCCATTGTTACATTATTATTATTTATATACTGTTAACATTAATGTAGTGACTACATCGTGTATATTATAATGCGTTTTGCATGTACATAATATAAAATGGTTTAAGCGCGAAAATACAAACAAATATTAGAGCTTTTAATTTTTTTTTAAATACGTAACTTTATTCAATATAAAAACAAACCGATATATAATAATACTAATAACAATAAAAACGATTAACAATGCAAGTGATTATATAAATGTACATAGACATATATATAGGTACACACACCACGCGTAGTTCGAGTACACTCACGTACTTGTATTTATATTATAATTAAGTATAAAAATAAAATTGTATCATTTTTTTCAGTAAAATAAGAGTCTACGCGTGTGGTTGGGGGTAGGAAAGGGAAATAATGTATATAATAATATATTAATAATCGTATTATAATATGTATTAGGACCGGGCGGCGACGACGGCAATACGACAACGATATTATGATAACATATTAATAATATGTTTTTCATAATATTATGTTATCACCGGCGCCGTCGTCATTGTCGTCGTCGGTATCGCCGCTCACCGGAAGTCGGATGGCTCGGCGGCGGCGGTGGGGGGCTTCGCCGGCTTCAGCGATTCAGAAGTCGAACGCGTCGTTGCTGGGCTTCCTGTAGCCCGTGTTTCCGCTGTCGGACCGGCTGACCACCGCGTTGAAACCCGTTTCCGGGCCGGCGGTGTACTCGACCAGCCTCATGGCACCATCGGGTTCCAGAACGCTGTACGCTCCCTTGACCACGTCACCCTCGCGCGCCTCCCATTGGCTCTTCACGTCGTACGTTTCCGGATCGTGGACCGCATAATCGAACTTGTACGCTTTGGGCGCCTGTGGTACAAACACACGAGTGTCGTCGTCGGTTTTAGTAATCGTCGCGTCGTGATATAAGCAACAAGGTATGATCGTGACTTTTTGACGGTCAGATCCGTCGACATAGGCACGTGATGTGAGTAATAGCTATCGGATGATAGTATTGATAGCTAATAATACGGGTAAGTGAGTGACGCGTGTTGCGCAGACTTGAACTCAAATCTGGACCTTTGCGATCATACCATTATGTTGTTGTTTACATCACGATCGTCGCGTCACGATAAAATGTCGTAGCGGTCATCGACGTCATAACTATCATAGATTATATCATTAATATTGTTTATCACACTATATACGAGCCGGGGACCCGTTACAGCAGACCGCGGCGTTGGTGGACGAATCGGACAAAGTACCTGTGCTATATTATCCTATACTCGCACCGCTATCGCCATGGTAGTAAAATAACGAAAACTGCCGGTGATGTGTGGGTGTTTACTGGACCGTTGAGGATAGTGATAACGACGATAACAATGAAAGAAACGAGCGAGATAGCGCTTACAATATACCGTGTATTGTATACGAGACGGTTACGGGCGGTATATACGATTATAATAATATGTATTATTATTATTTTGCTCCGACCAGACAATATTGTTATTGCAGCAGCCGCAACAGTTATTCGCTGGCATAAGTTTACAATGCGACGGCGGTGTTGCTTAACATAGCACTTTACCGGCTGTTCCGGTCCGTTAGGGACACTGCGCACTTATTTATACGTTATCGCGTATGACATTGCCGTTGTTGTAGTTGTATTATTTACCCGGCTGGGCGGTCGTGGAATGTAATTTTTAGTCGATTTAACCGAAAACGATCTGTCGTACAGGTAATGGCCGTGTGCAACCGATACTGCGGTATTACCCACCATAACGATACAATGGAATGTCGTGTGAAAAAATGATCCGTACAACGGTCGGACACAACAAACGAAATCGGTTATCGCGAGCGACAAATTGCAAAATTGAGTAAGCGGAGAAAACGGTTATCGGCAGAAAAAAATATCGATGTCGATTAGAGAGTTTACATCCATTGTCGCGCATATTACAAATGTCGGTGGAGGATTATTGTAGCAGTCGGTTGGACGGAAAATGCCGGCAGAGACCCAGGCCACCTATTGGGAGACTTTGTCCAGTGAGAGGAAGCGTCCATTCTGAGCCCCCCCCCCCCCGCGTCATACTTCTATCGAAACCTGTTCTACTTTGGCAAAGTGTCATGTGGGGATGCGCAGAAAAACTGTATTTGTCGGCCCACTAAGCATTTTATAGCTGGACAGAGTATGGATGCCATGCGGAGAATTTAATGATAGTATAAGTTATACTTTAAGCATAAATAGATGACAATTATAGTATTCTTATCTAAGAAATTTAGTTCTAGTGCAGAAGGAAGTAGATATCTGTATATAAAATTAAAAATTATAAATACTTTGAAAATAAATAGTGTATCCCTAAACCTCAAATATAAAATTAAGTTTCAAGGGTATTTACGAATTACGATGTCTCTACAAATGAGTCGTGAGTAGATGACTGTTTTGATCAGTAATCGCTGTTTTTGACGGGCGGAGGAATACGGATACAAGTATCATTTTTCAAACATGGTCATTGATCATACACTAATCACCACTTTAAGGTAGCTATTAATGTTTTGTCCCAATTAATTATTATATTTATTAACGAGCGGACGGTATTGCGTTTCGGGTAATAACAATAAAAGTTACAATAACGTCTGTATACTCACGTAATTTTCGGCAGACTCTGAGCTCTGGGACCGGGGTCCTCCTTCGACGAAAATCGGTATGGCCATGGTGCACGCCGTCATAACGCTGAGTGCAGCAAACATCTAGAAAACACAGTCGCGGGTATACGACGGTATCAATATATAAACACGACGCGTGAAACAAACGGCCAAAGACGTCGAGAGACCAAAATATAACAGAGGATCAGGACTTGGTAAACAAAGACCGCATTTAAATTTTAAATATGATCACTCAAAAAAATGGAAAATATTGAAATGAATAATATATACGCGTGCCATCGATGATGTCCATGTCTAGGTATAGTGAGAGTCTCTTGACTATAAGGATATATAACGTATCAGATTGTTAAATGTGGTTTTTAAATGATTTTCTGGTTAAACTGTGGAGAAAACGGAAAATACATTTCCTTGTTAACATTTAAAGAACTTTATTTTTATTAAAGTGAATAATTTTTTTTAATTTTTAAAATCTAAATAAAAATTAAATAGTGCATCGTAAAAATAAGAATGTAAATTTGATGCTTTTATTCAAACGTTCGATTTAAAATATTCTAAAAGTTCTACCGTACTCAATGAGGCAAACAAATGTTTACAATATGGATAACAATATCAAAAAAAAAACAAAATATTAAGCACTGAATATTTTTACGTTTGAAATTCAAACATGAACAAAAATGCACATGCACTCGTGCCGAGCCGTGACATATAAAATCACTACAAAAGTGTACTTACTTGACACGACCTCATGGTGTAGATGATACGGTGATGATGAACGACTATGGGTTTTGCTGTTGTGTGCTGTTGCCGCAGTGAAATGTGTAGTAAAATACGTTATTATAATATATGCGATGTATTATTATTATTATTTTATCGTTTATTTTTGAATAATAGCAGTCGAAACCCGAACTATCGAACACTGATATCATACGAGTGCCGGGCTTGGGATTTTATACATTTTTCGAACGTCCCCCACGTAGTCGCCGCCACGCGTAGGTCTCTACCTCCACCGCCGTCGCTGGACATTTCCCGAGCACGTTTTCCGAATTGGACACGCGACACCGACGACGTAATCCGCCGCCGCCGCCGCTGGAAACGGGGAGACGGCGGCCGGGTATACTCGAATGCCAAGGTCGGCATGTGAGCGGTTTTCACGTTGCCGCTGAATTTTCTCGCCGAAGATGTGGGTCAACGAGCACGCCGTGGCTGCAGTTGCGCCAGTGAAAAAATATATTCATTATATTACAATATTATGTCCACGCGGATTCACGGTATACATAGTTTTACATTCGGTATATTCATGATCATGTGCACGATAAATAAAGCGAGCAGGCGACTGCAGGGCTTACGGGGGATGAAGATTGACCCTCAGGTACTGATGGCTCTCTCGTTTATTCTTTATTAAACTATACACGGTTAATTTGTTATACTACAATAATAATATGGAGGTGTAATAAATACTTCAGTCTTCGACATTTGCATTTAACATGTTTTGGGATTATCATTTATTATTTTATTTTTGGATTTAATTTATATATTCGTATGATATGGAAAAAGACTTATGAGTCATAGGTTTCATTACGTGCATATTTTGTTAGTCTCCATCCCTATTTTTAATTCTTAGACTCCCCCCAACCAACCGATATCTCATTGTACGTTTTTCATTTTCGAGAATAGCTATTCGTATATGACCGTATATTATATTATTTGCACATTTCTTAATATGGTTATAGCTATATCGTTTTTTACAATAAAATATTGGGATGAAATAAATCGGTGAATTTAATACTTGAAAATAGAAATGTCAAAAAACCGAAAATCCAAACCAAAAACAAAATATAAAATAATATCTGGTATGTACAATATGTGTGTATCACCGATACCTACATAGAATATATGGCCGATAACATCAATCCGCTTCTGTATACGAACATGTATGTCATTATGATCAATATCAACAATTTGGAAATGTAAATACTTTAAAATAATTTAATTAAAAACAGTGTTATGGTTTATGCGTTCTCTGATTTTTCAATTATGACATGTACTTCTACTGTGTCTTTTGTGAGTACACAATATATAATATAACTAGCTAAACCGACGGAAACGTATGTTGTCTGATAGATTTATTCACCCGAAAATTTTTTTTTATCTGTTATTTGTTCGTGTATATATTACATTTTGTCCTCAGGTATTTTTTCATGGATCTCGCGAATGGTTTTTTTTGTCGACTAGGATGGAAGTTGCACCGTCATCAGCAGTGCAAAGATCATAACTATATTATAATTTGTTCTGGTGCAAGCAAGCTCATTTCCTATGTAAATAACCACCGTGCTAATGGTTTGCTGACAATGCAATATTAAAATCACTCCATTAGATGAATGTATTTTTTAATGGGTGAAGTAAAATGATACGCAGCATTCTTGAGTGTTAAAAATCGTATAGGTATATTATACAAAAAAAAAAGGTTTTTATTAGAGTTCGGTTTATTTGATTTATTTATATTTTAATTGTTTACATTTAATCACTGCGTATTGCAAATGCAGTTTTCAAAGATTTTTTCGAATACTTCTTAGGCATTTCCTCTTCTTTTGTGCCCTATAAAAAACATACATAATAATAAAATACCTCATGAAACCACATTAAATTCAACAATACGTTATATCACTGCTAGTATAGTGCTTCATATGGTGTAAAATAATCTAAATACTATAAGCTTGTACTTGAGCGTAAAATCAAAAACTGGCGTATCGTTATTTAAATTAATTCATTTTATATTTTCTATGATTATATATATATCTGTCGACCGATTCACTAAATCCTCGCTCATGTGTATATATGTAACACCTATGCTTAAGTCTTAAAAACCAAATAATATTTAAACCAAACATTACAATATGGAAAACGACCAGTATACCTAACCGAGACAAAAGTCGGTGCAAATAGTTATGACAAGAATGTTTGACGTATTGTTGTAACATTATGCTTGGTGTGCCTACGTATATTGCACTAGATATAGCACCTCTACAGCTGCAGTTATGCAACTTTGACGGCTCTCAAAAAACTATATGGATAATATTTGATATATAATATAATCGATCCTATCATTTTTCCCAACGACCGTTGTAAAAAAAGAAAGTAAATTGGCGACTTATTTGGTACCTACCTACCTGTATTATTATTACATTTTTGCCCACTTGCAGCCTGCAGGCTGGTAATAACGGGGTGGGGGAGGCGTTTCCTCATACCCACCTGCTATAAATCTGGTTCTGTGCGGCATCGATATGATATCATGTATAATATTATTATTCTCCGTATGCGCAACCGCGGATCCATGGAGTTTTCATTGTGGCGGGAAATTTGTTGCTGCTGTTGTACGTACTATTATTATATATTCGTACGGTCGGTCGTTTGTTACGCGATTTAAATTTTTTTATTGTGTTTGTACAATTTTTCTTTTCCGCGATGAAAATTGTTTCACGCGATAATGTCGTAAAAAGACACATACGCATTCCATTGTACGCTCTCGGGTACCGGGTACTCCTTTATATTATTATTATTATTCCGATAAAAGGTTTTTAATACACTTTGCCAACGCACTCGCTTATTTTTGGTTATTGTTGTCGACTCGGCACCGATTATAATGCACGGCCATAATTAAAATTCACTCGTCAATGATAATGTTCTGAGCGTTTGATCGTAGTACGACACACATAAAATTCAACTGAACGCGCAATCAACTTTCTTTGTGGGCAATCGTTTCTCGAAAGCCATTAATTACTGCTTTCAAATTAAACTGCCAACCACAATTATTTCCATGCCACAGTCACTACTTTTGATCTATTCTATATTTGCGCCATTATTAACAGTATACAATATTATATTATTATGCATAATATGTTTCAAGCAAATTCAAAACACATGCAAGTGTAACTGCGATTCGGATGGATAGTAATATTGTTTTTGAAATGCCAACAAAATATATACAAATTACATACATATACGCGCTTTATACACCACTTGTGGCTTAAAATATTATGTTTCGACGAACTATACGAACAAAAACTATATTTTCATGGGACTTTTTAATTTTTTATAATATGTAACATCAGTTTATTTATAATATAGTATAAATCATATTGTGTATAATACGATTACGATAAAAGCAAAATATACATAAAATAACGGTGAAAGTGCTTGAGGGGGAAGTCACACGGTTGTCTATTGACTGAATATTGTCCAGATCGCTGATCAAATTGTCAAAAGCGTCTCGCCTGGTTTGGAAAAAAAAATAAGAATAAACTATTTTTCTATAGTATAGATTGCACCATTTTAGTTTTAACAGTCTTTCTGTGGGTTGTCCGAGAGTGGTCTTGATGACAATTATGTAATTACGAAGTTTTTTGAAACGGCAGAGCTCTATTATTATGTATAGATCAAATTCATTTCGATGGTGGAGATGCTGCGAGTTAAGTCTTTTTCACTTGGATAAGCGTGGACTGATATAGATACTAATTTGGAGGGGCTCTATTATCACATAAGTTGTATTACTTATATATACGAATAAAATATCACTTATATTGAACAACTTTTATAATTAACTGACTTGAATGATATATTATTTTCGCGCATAATATATAGGTTAGGTTTGATTAATAAATTATTATATTTTATAAAAAAATGATTGCCTATGTTATCATGTCCCGTGTTCATAGTAATATCAGTGTGAGTGGGGGGGAGGGGAGGAAATTTATGTCTCGGTGATCCATCAACACCGCCAATATTCAAGTGTTATTTTAACTGCCACATTTTTAACGTCTGTCTTGAATATTAACCTTAAATTTTATGAAAACCCCATCGAATAATATTCTACATCTCAATATTTATAGACAAGTGTATCTGAGGTCTGAGATTTTCTGACTTTGTAGTGAAAATAATCTTGCAGATGTTCATAGTATTTGACATAATATCTGGAGCGACAGTTTAATGGTTGAACTAAAATCACAAAAACGGTAGTCGGGGACAAAATAATATAATATTATTGTAAGCTACATCGTTACATAATATTGTGAATATATTATTCCGGAGTGCGCCTCATACGTTTATAGGTTTAAAAATTGCGGTTGACATACAGAATCCGCTGACGCTATAGCCTATAGGTATACGGTCCAATTTATTGTCGCTCTATGATTAGATACTGTGTAATTTTATTTGTTCTGGTGAGCGGGAAGGCCAAGAAGGCAAGAACTGACGTGACGAACGACGGCGAAAAATCGTATACGAATAAATATAATATATTATTATACGATTATAGCACACTGGATAACTCGCGACTGGCGTACCCGAATGTGCTAATTTTTCAAACTCGTACTTTATTAATATTATTTTTATATTATGTTTACCGTATAACATCATATGGAATACGAGATTAAACGCGTTATTGATATTGTTTCGAAAAGTACGATCAGTTATAGCAACGGGTTTTTCTATGCAACTGCACCGTACCTGGTCGTATAGATATAATGTTTTTTTATTTGTATGTGATATTTTAAAACTGACGATAGATGAGAAGTGTGCTAGATTCTGAACGTCACGTTGAAGTAAAAACATTTTATTTGACATGTTTTTTTTTATAATCATAAATACTACGATGCGTGCGCAGCTTAAGCAAAGCTTCACCAACACGTGTCAATTTTTTTGCATGGTGTATGTCTCATATTATTCAGCACATACAGTGCAGGTCATTCAAA